GGCTGTGAGCTCTACGCTGGTGCTAAGCAGCAGTGCAGGAACCCGCCCAATGGCTGGGCTTGCAGATCCTAAGGGTATGCCAAGAAAACCATTTTGGATCATAAAAAGGCTTATTCATTACCTGCTGGTATTCAACATAGCTCCAAGGCAGGGATGGGTTAAACAGACTGGAAGGAATTGGGAAATCTCACTCTGGCCCTGCCCTTCCAGGCACAGAGGGCTGCTGATGCCAGGAGAAGCACAGGGTGCTCAGCATCCCACAGGATTCAGATCTTGATCGATTTATAATTCTCAACCCCACCTCAAATGCCTTTTTTCCACCCATTAAACATGAGGGACAGGCTAGAGATGTGAGTTCAGCTCTGTACCCTGTCTCCAGTCAGCCTGCACAATGCAGCACACCCAGGCAGAGATTTCAAATAAGCTTTGCCGATCTGGGAAAATTAAATGCCCAATTTAGACAACGGATCGTTGTGATTCCAGAGCTATCAGGGATTTCATCCACTATTCAAAACATTCCTCTAGTTTTTACCTGATTTGCACAGGCAGACACACAGCCCCCCCCCAAAGCACTCAGACATGAAACCTCCAACTGCAAATACAAAACTGAATCAGTAAACAAGAGTCAAAACAAAGATAATTCACATCCCTGTCGGAGTCCCTGGGGTTAGGACACAGCCTTACCAGGCTCATGGAAGCATCCCATAGGATCTGCCTTGTCTTCCCAGGTGAACCTTGTGATTACTTCCCTAACAAACACATCCTCCTTCCATGGGACACAAGACCTGCAGGACCACGGGAACCATCCTGAACCTTATTCACACCTGCTAACCCAAATACTTTCCCCCTCCCTGCTCATCCCAGCCACTATTTGTTATTTTAATGCCTTTTGGGGGTTTTGGTAATTGCTGCAAGTCATAACACCAGAATTTACTTATCAAGAAGAATCAGCGATCAGACACTCTGCAATGAATATTGTATAAGCCTGGATGAGAATTAGCATAGACGAGCTCAGTTGGATTTTATGCATTAGAAAATGGATTTGGCTCCCACGGGGGCAGCATTTTGTGAAAACACAGGGGCCAAATGGTTTGCTACCGAACCTGGCAAGGCATTTACATATTTATAGATTAAACCCCACATCCGACATGGAAATCTCATCTGCATGAAGTGTGTTGGGTGAGTGATCACAACCTCGTGAAGCAAACAGAGTGCAGCAGCCACAGGACAGGCAGTGCATTTTATTGCTGCTTTTTATGCTTTACAGAAGAAAGCTCCAGAAATCAGGTATGAGAATCCTCCTGTAAGTGACTGTCTGCTCCTACCAGCCAGGCTGCAAAAGTGACCTGTGGTGTCTAAAGTGTGTGAGCTAGAGGAGAACCAACAATTTTTGGAAGGGACTGCAAATCCCAAAGAGATGCCATAGAGTCCAGAAGGAATATTCAGCAACCCAAAAGGTCTCATAAGACACACAAAACCAAGGGGTGATTCCTATCTAACATAAAGTTTCTCACTGCTCCCCATCCCATTGGAAGGAGACCTAAGGCCAGGGGATATCACTGAAGGCAGGACCACACAGACCAGGAGCTGCCTGCACAACAGGGAATTATTTCTAAGCAGACACAAGACAGTACTGCACCCAGAAGCAATTTAATAGAGGTGGTATGGTACAGCCCTCTGACTGCACTGAGTTATGAATAGAGGCATTCAAGTAAACCCAAATAAAGGCCAATAACTCAACTTACATTTTATACCGAGTTTTTGAATGCTGTAGGGGCCAACACAGGACTAAAACAACAAGAGATTTGACTCCCTTGCTGCTTTCCACCACTCAGGAACTTAAAGCAGACAGGGAAGACAAGCTCTTCTGTTGTTTCAGCTCCCAGCCTTACAAAAAAACAGTGGAAAAACCACCCCACGTGCATGTTGTGCTCACAACCCAAGCACCAGGATGGTAACCTGGACACTGAAAGGGCTACACTCTCACTGGTGCATAGGTGGAGTTCCAAAAGGAGCTTTGAAGATGTGTGGCAGCATCAGAGTCCTGAATCTGGAGAAAGGCAGAGGAGATTACATGGAGCTGATTTTTCATTCATAACCACCCATGGTGATGAGCTGAGCCCACGACATCCAGCTCGGTTTGCAGGAAGCTTTTGTTACAGCTGGTGTGAAAAGCCTGACTGCAAACAGCCAGGCAACCCCAAAGCCTGCACAGAGCAGGGATGCAGGGGTAACATGGGAGCTGCCCTGGTAGAGGAAGAGGTTGGGGTGCAGGGGAACAGCCAATATTTACATTTTCAGGTCGGCACACAGTGTAGAGAGATACCTTTAAGAATCCAGAGGCTGGAGTTAAGAGGGAAAAGCTGTTGTCACTGTTTCCCTGGCTACAGCATGCCTGGTGCTCAAGTATCCATGTCTGGACACCTTATTTACAGAAAGTCCCAGTGAAACTGGCAGCAGTCCTGCAGTGCTCAGCTGAAACCGGCACTGAGAGGTTTGTGAGCAGGCTGGGAAAAGACAGATGAATTTGGAAAGCTCTTGCCCCATGGGAAGGTAATTAAGCAGCAAACTGATGGCTATTTAAAGCAGGCAAATGGTTATTCTTGGGGTAAGGTCAGGGAACAGAGCTGGGTGGTAGCACCTGAGCTCACACCAAAAGGGATGTTCGGAGAGGAACCCAAGGAGGGATTATTTCTCCTGTCACTCTTCCCAAGCTCTCAGCCACCTTTGGCAACACTCCTCCTTCCCTGCAGACCATATTAACACCCTGTCAGCCTGCACCCACCTGACCAGCATCACACAGAAACAGATGAAGAATAGCCACATTGCAGCTTTTAACCCCAGGGAGAAACTGTATGTCCATACATGAGACCTTGCAAGCCAAACACGTTGCACACCTCCATGCTGCAGTTTGTCCCCTGCAGGAACAAGGTGCCAGTCCCCAGGAGGGCAGCTGTGAGCTTTTATCATCTTCATGACTCTTTGAAGCCACCCAGACTGAGTCTCTCCCTGCCCCTACCAGCAACTGGGGCTGCTGGAATTCTGGCACTGGCACGTACAGTAAAAGCAAAGCTATGGTTTACATCAAACACTCTCTGTTCTGTAATTCATGTCACTAACAGAAACCAGATGCCATCTTCCTCAGTCCCTTGCACAGAACGATGGCCTGGCTTTGCATTACATAAAGCAGCAAGAAAATAAAATCTATACCTTCAAGAAAAAAGCAAAAATAAATAAATCGGTAATTAGACAAAAAACATTCAAGCCAATAACAGCTTCCAAGTTTCCAGGAAGAATTAGGTTGTTTATGGAAGTCCTGTTTCAACTAACAGCCTGCCTGGCAGGTGGTAGGAATGTGAGTTTGTGGAGAGCAGAAACATGAAGCAGCTCTGCCTGGGGCACTGTGCTTTGCTTTGCTGTTTTCTTGGTTTAGTTAAACAAGAGGAGACATTACAAATATTCAACAAAAGGAGGGGAAAGGAGATCTGTGCATCAGTGTGGCCTTTCCTACCTTGGATGCCATAGAGTCGATTCAGGCGTGACCGTCTGGCCTCGTCAGCATAGGGCACAGCCACCCAGGGCATCTCACTGAAGTACTGATTGAAGGAGTCCTCTGACCTGTCACAGTGAACAGGACACGGGATGAAGAGCACAGGATGCAGAGCACAGCCCCTCCTCTCATCAGGCTCTTTCCTCATTAAAAAACTGCCCTGCAAAACCCTTTATCCCTTCCATCAAAGCCCACCCCTAAGTGCTGCTGGCACACACAACCTGGGGAAAGCTAGACCAAACTGAAAGTCCTTCAAGAAGTCCATGGTGTGTTTTTTCCCAGTAAAATATTTCAAACACTCCAGGGCATCTGAATGCCAACGCATGATGACAGCAGGAGCTTCAAACCTCAGAGCTATGAGCCACAAAGTGAAACACTGTGCTGCTCCACAGACAGAGCCTGCTCTCAGCCCACTGCTGCCCTGCTGACCCCACTCTGCACTTCACCTCTGGGCAGAAGGAAAGGACTTGGGCAGCTTTCCTGATAGCAGAGCCAACCTGCTCTGCCCCAAATCAAATATCCTCCTCAGATCAAACCAGCATGCTCACAGCTTCCCATCTTGCGGGCAGCCAGCTCTGCCTGCACAGTTTGTTAGTGTTGCCTCACCTGTCTGCACTAACGAAGAGGATCTCAAACTTCTGGCCTGCCTCCTTGATTTTCCGGTAGGACTCAACCAGGACCCTCGTCAGGCTTCGGCACGGTGGGCACTGCAAAACACAACACACACAAGGACATTGTCTCCTCCTCAGGGCCAGACCCACAGTCAGCAGCTCCAGGTGCCCTGGTGACCATGAACAGATGTGACCTCTTTGCTGGAGTGCCAGGCAGCAGCTCTGAACATGGCTGGGGCCCACAGCCCATAAATCACCAACAAAACCTCTTCCATTTTTGAAGTCTGACCACTCTTCCCCTTCCAAGGCTGAGGGTGGCAGATCACTGCAATGCTGAATGACCAGAACATCTAAAATCCTTCAGCACCAACCAGCCTGTGTCTTTACCCTCCCTGAGCTCACTCCAACTGCTCTGCACAGCACCTGCTACTCACCCAGTGTGCAGAGAAATAGACCCCAACGTGAGAGCCCTCCAGGGCACTGCTGTCCAGTGTCTGCCCATTGTTCCTTAGCAGAGGCCCAGCAACAACTTCACTGAAGGGTTTTGGCCCCCACGGGAACTCCAGACCTGGGGAGGGGTCAGGATGGGGGAGGAATGAAGACACAAGACAGCATAGATTGTCAGGTTTACAGATGTTCCCAGCACATGCAAATTTTACCGTTTCACGAAATTCCATTAGGAAAAAAACCATCCCACTGGGGTTTATCCCCATCCAAGGGGGATGCAGAGCAACTCAGCTGCCAAGGTCTGCACTGCAGCCAGGGTCACCTCCTTCTCACAGAGAGGCTGCACCGACCTGAGTCGCAGCACCTTCGGCATAACAAAACCTGCTCTGATTTAGTGCCTGATGAGGCATTTTTTCCTTATCAACAGCAGTTATTTTAACAAGAGGGCAAGGTGGTACGTGCTCAGGAATGCAGTCAGACTATGCCCCTTAGCCTGACACTAACCATGTATTTTTACACATACACTTTCCTTTTATTTATAAAACCTTAGAGATATCTATATGGTGTGTTTATCTATACATAAAACTTATATATATATACACATAAAACTCTCTGCACCCCAAAGCAAGCTGTGTGTGTACACACAAACACACACTCTGAATCATCTGCTGCCAGCTCCCAGAGCAATCAATCCATGTGTTCTGCCAGAGAGGAGGAAACATCACAGATGGCTCAGGCCACAACATGTTCTTACTGTACAGCTCCTGCCACTGAATTAAAGACTTGGTCACCACACTCAGCATTTACTGCAGGAAGAAACAACGAGCCAATAATATGTGTGGATGGACAACTAGAGCAGTTGACTGATGGGTCTGCAGGGTCTGTGAGTAAGGGCACAGATTTTGCTCATTTTGGTTTATCCAAATGGGAAGAAAATGGATTTAACATCAACTCTCATCACAGTAAACCTCAGAGAGGGAGAACAGTAGCATTTTTCTGTTTAATTTGTAACTAATGGGAAATTGATTAACCTAACAGAGTGTGATGTCAGTGATAAAGTCCTGCTCAGTATTCTGGAAGGATTCTGCTCCCAAGGTATGGAAAGTCTGGGCCCTCACTCTGTCCATGTGCCTCCATCAGGGAAAAATCCTTAATGTTTCAGTTAGCTTAACTTCTTCCTCATTAGCACTCCAGACAAAAATCCTGGAGGGAAATTCTTTGTTCTTTTCAACAAGCAAAACCAAAACACAAGATCTGGCAGGAATGATGCAGAAAATTTGATGCAGAAAATTTTATGCCGAAAATAGCACAGTGCTTCAAATAGTTATGACAATAGTTCTTTGTTCCCTCCCCCCCAGGCAACTCAGAATGAACTGAAATGAAAAGGCAGCTGTGTGTCCATGTTCCTATGGCACAAGGGACTTACCTTCCGGGTCATCTCGGATGACCAGGAGGCCATTCCTGCAAACCACTTTCCCGGTGGAGGCATCGATAAATATTAGGGAAGGAATGTTGGACACTCTGTACTTGTTCCACAGCTTCAGCTGTAAAAGAGATTGGAAGGGGAGATAAGAAAGGTAAACTTGGCACCATGAAGAGGACAATTTTTGAGCGTTAGCATCTTCCAGACCAGAGATCAGAGCTCAGCAAAGAAACAGAGCTGCTGCTTCAGGAATGTTTATGAAGGCATGTGAGGGCATCTCTCCAGAGCTGCTGGGCCAGCCTGGACCTCCAGCACCCAGAGAGACCCTCACCACCAAAACCATCCCCATGGTACTGCAGGTGAGACCACCATGTGTCTCACGCCTGCTGGAGATTTGCCTGTGAGCACAGGTAAACCTTCTCCTCCACTTGCACTTACCTCTTTGCAAGTAAAATGGGGATAATATTTGCCATGCTTTGAGGTCTTTGTTTAGAAGACATGGTAAGCACAAATACTTTTAATGCCACTGCTCTGAAGCAATTTGTAATGCTTCTCTGGCTGTTTCCTCCCCTCCCATTTCAATCTTCATTAAACAAACCAGAAACTCCTGCCAAGACACAGCCAGGCTGAACACAAGGCCAACACACAGAAAAACGATTCTTCTGCAACTGGGACTTCCCAAGTTTGTTCCAGGAGCTGATTAACAGGTTTGGCATCAGCCTGGGGACTGTGTAGCCCAGCTCATCCATCCTGCACTGCCAGCCTCACAGCAGTCCCTGCTGGCTATGGGCAGAAGCTGTGCAGGCTGATGGGCACATTTTTGGGCATCCTGGTCTGGATGATGCTGGTCATCATGTTTTGCAGCGAGCTCAGCTCTGCACAACATCAGTGACTTGAGTGCTCTGGGTGTCACACAGTCCTGGGCTGACATTTCTCAGCATATGCTTCTGGCACAGGATAATTTGGAGCTTAACCCACGCACAGAAGCTCGTTGGGATGAGAAGGAACAAGACGACGACAGCTGCTGGCACAGCTCAGCCTGCAGGTGTGGGCTGGCCGTGCTGGAGGAGCAGGTCTCCACACCATGCATGGAGGAGCTGCTGCCATCACCACGTTTCCTTACATTTCTCCAAGCATTTCAACCTAAACAGCCCAGTGGACAATTATCACACTCTTAAACAAAAGCCAAACCATAGCTGAGAGCCAGAGGGGAAGGAAATTAATCACCACCTTCCCCTAACGTCAAGTTCTGCTCTGCAAAGCCCCTAGGGCTCTGGGTGTTTACAGCTTGCTCTGGCTTGGAGAATAAAACCCAGCCACAGGGGAAGCACAGGAAGGGACCACCAAGAATCCCACCCAGTGCCAGCCAGCATGAGAGTCAGAGAAATCATCACACAACATGCTGCTGCTTCTGTCAGTATCTCGTGTAGAAACTGCACCAATGAGTCTTTCCAAAGGAAGAGGCTGTGACTCTGCAGATCACTGTCCCTGACTTGAGAACAGAGGCAATCCCATTTCCCAAGATGGAAATGATCTGGGGACCAGGCCATAAGGGCAGGAATGGCATGCAAGGTGCAGATCTCACCAGAGATCCAGCTGAGGGAGGAATCCACTCTATTAACCATTTCTTCCCACACCTCCCTACAGAAGCTCTATGTGGATGAGTGACACATGTCAGTCTGCTTGCACAAGCTGTTAGCAAAAGACTCTTGGTTCTGAAGGAAAGCATTACCACACCAATGTCCATCTACTAGAACCTAGAGACAGACAAGGTTTTGTGTCCCACCCACCAGCCTTCCATTTCCAACAGACAGATTTCTTGGGACAATCCAACTCATTCACAATGGATTCACAAACCAAATGGCCTTGGGCATGAAAAGCAAAGAAAGAAATCACACTCAGTGCTAACCAGCCCCTCACAATGAGGGTGTTCAAACCACAGAAGGTAAAATCCATTCCTGTGAAGTTTAAAGGGTGGGGAAAAGCTCTTTATAAGGATCAGAGGCATTTAACAGGGTGCTGCAAACAATAAAGAAATTACAACTAGCAATCGGATCGTTCTCTTTAAATAGTTGCTTACATTACACTTCATTTTGCCAAGTCCTTTGTATACAGAAGCAGCTCCCCTGGGGCATCACGGCGGGTCCTGGTAGTTTTGCTTGGCTGGGGAAGCAGCAGGGTCTGCACTTTGGAGCCAAGAGGCTGCATGGGCTCCCTGTGCTCACAGGGATGGGGCTGGAACACCCCAGATAAGGGATAACACCAAACCAAACCTGCTCAAAGCATTGGAGAGAGCAGGGCACAGCTGGCTCCAGGCAGTCTACGAGGTCCAGCAGGCATGGCAACTCTTGCCAATAAGTGGTCCTGGGTTTTCTCAGGATGTCTAAGCCATCAGGCCTCACTAAACCCAACTGCAGGCACTGGTTTTGGCTTCCCAGACATCCATGGCACCAGTAATCTGCAATCCAGATACTCTGTCCCCATGAAATGGAGGGTTGCCACTTCTAACTCATCATTGAGGGTCCACAGGAGAATGCCTCAAGCAAGCACGAAGCTACGTGTGAGCCATAAGGGTCAAAAAGCATCAGAAGAGGTCAACATGACATCTGCTGCTGCTGGGGGAGCACGTCCATCACTGGGCTCTGAGACTTGAACCCAAGGAACACCATGTCACGCCCAATCACACCTTGGGTGAACAAGAGAAAGCAATCCACACTGCAAGGTCTTACCTTACACCTGTGGAAAAGCTGCAGCTCCCAGGCACAACCCATCAGACCAGGTCATGCCAAACATTTCAGAGCTTCATACATACTATTGTACTGCTTAGTTTTTCTCAGGGATTTGCACTTATGCAGGTTCTGGAAAAGGGATGAGCTCCTCCTCAGTCCTGCTCAGCTTATGCCCACTGGTTGTGGTCCATGCAGGAAGGGGAATTCATGAGAAAAAAAAGGCATCCCTGGTCCAGGTACCTGCACAACCACACACCTCACAAAGGATCCTGTGTTGGGCTGGGCGTGGGATGCGGAAAGCAAATTACAACTTGCTCACAAACCACAGGCTGATAGAATGATAGCTCAGGCAGCAGGGCAGAGTGCTGCCTCAGCAACTTTAAAAAGCTGTTTTTCCTGCCGTGAAGAGGATGACATAGAAATAACATACTCCACACTCTAAGGATTTGATCATCCATTTAAAGAGGGGATCTCTGCTCCGCTTCCCAGCAGCTGTTGCAAATCTGTGGGATCAAGCCAAAGCTAACACAGATGTGATAGCTAACACAGACTATTCAGCCTGAGAGCAGCTGATCCTCTCGGAGTGCCTTTCGCTCCTGGTTCGGGCTGCATGCCTGATGCTCACCCCAGGACACTGGCTGGAGAAGGAGTGAGGAAATACAGCCCCTTGCAAGACTCTGCAGAGACTGATCAGCCTTACAGAAACTTCCCTGGCTCCTGTGCAGGTGGTTAAGTGCAGCCATCCAGTGGAAAAACCAGAGTCACCAGATTCCTCCAGTAACTTTATCCCTACACAAAAGCATCACCACACTGTCCTGCAAACCACATTCCTGGGCTCCCTCCATGACTCCATCTGTGAGAGGCTTTAAAACGATCACTTGCGATTTGAGGTCTGAGACGATCCCTAGACGTGGAGCTGTGCAGCAGCACTCGGTGTTGGCTCACCGAGCTGCTGGCTCGGTTATTCCCTCACCCTGGTGACTGGGAAATGCCTGGCTGAGGCACACTGGAGAGGAGTTTGCAGACAGCCACAGTAATTCTTCCAGATAAAGGTGTCAGCCGAGAGGTCTCCCCAGCAGCCCACGGCTGTTCTGTGCAGGGCTGGCACCCAGCCGGGGAGGATGAAATCCCCTCCTGCTCTGCACACACTGCTGGGGAAGGGATCCCTCCACTTCCAACAGCTGCTGGGTGCTATTTTTGGTTGTGCTGATGGATTTATCAGTCCTGGTCGCATTCACTCACTAGCATGAATCCTGAGCTGCAGTGGTTAATGCTGGCAGGGATAAAGCACAACTGCTTGTGGTGCACTGAGCCCTGACCGGTGGGAATTGGGGGCTGCATTTCTCTGCTGTTGTGTGAAACTGGACCATAATAGCTCTCACACTTCCATCTTCCATCGGATATGGAGCTGACTCTGCCCAGACGCTGCCTCTGCTCATCTTGCAACCTACATTTCCACCCTGACCAGTGACAGACAGACAAAGCCGGTTTTAAAATTCCAAAGCTAATTCCTCAGCAATAATGAGCATGTTCCTGCTGCTTTCTGCTGAATCAAATGCAAAGCCATTTTTCTAAAAATCCACTCTTGGAGGCAACACCCCTAGGGTTTGGGAAATTCTTCCAGTCAGGTTTCCAACAGCCCCAAGAGGGACCATGTGAGAGCACAATGGTGTTTCCATTACAGCATGAGCTCAGCTTTTACTGGTCTCTCGTTCTAGAGCCATGGGCTGAAACATGGGATCTGTCTGAGGAACACATGAGCTGTGCCAGGTGGAACAGAACCCTTGGTCCAGGGCTGCAGAGCCCATTGCTCAGCTCTCCTTCCAGCTCTGCCACACAGAGCAGCTCCAGGCTGGTTAGACAACCATGGACATCCCCTTGGCTTGGCGCTGCAGGGGACCTCTCTATCCTCACTGGCTCACAATGCTAAACTGCAGCTTTTACACCGTGCCTTAAAGGGTTTACAAGCACCAAGGGCCACCCAGGCTCTGCAGACAACAGGCTGCTCCCTCGCCCTGTCGATTTAAATCTGGTTCACGCCTGTCCCTGTGATTCAAGCTCAGCTGGGGCCAAGGCTCCTCTCCCAGCCCTCCCTCGCTGCTCCTTTCCCTTCCTGCATAAGGGAAGCTCCTTGGCAGAAGGGGGACACGGTGTGGGAATGACACACAGCCAAATAGCAGGGGGAGAGCAGATGGTGCACGCCAAGGTCTGACCCTGTGACACGGAGGAGATGGAGCAAGGCTTGGGATAAATTAATGTCTATTGTGCTGCTGTTTCTCTCTGAAAGCAAATCAAAATCTAATTACAAAACACAATGGTGAGAAAGATGTCTGCTCCGAGAGCGTTAATGAGCTGAGGAGGGAGGATTTGGAATGGCAATAAACAAGATTGA